AATTTAAAAATGAAGGATGTAATATGTATGAGACATTTTTTAAAAACAAAGGATTTCCCAATGAATATAACTGTTCGGCAGCATTTTCCTTTAATCCCCCATTCAGGAAGTTTTCATGGAAGACTTTCCACACCACCCTGCTCTTACAGGGTGGTTTTGTGGCTCAAATGTATAGATAATGCCAGTAACGAATATGTGGTACAAACTCCTATTTTGCAGATGAAAAATTAAGGCTCAGAGCTCACTGCACCACACTACTGAACGAAGAACTGGTGAATCCAGCTCAAAGATAATCCCCTCTGAAAAATCTTACCCTCTGTTGAACCTCCAGAGAAACAAGTGATATTACATTGATCAACTCTCTGAATGCGCTGAAAAATGTAAAAGGAGTTTTCTTAGAACAAATCACGTCTACCTGCACCAGAGATGGAGCATCTCAGAGCCACCTCCTCTAAAAGCAGTCTATGCTACTCTCCTACCTTCACAGCAGTCCTGTGGTGGTTCCTCTGGTCCTTTCTCTGCTAGCCTGCAAGCTTCTTGAGGACTGGAATTATATCTTTCATTTCCAGGTCCCCAGTGCCTGACACAGGGCCTTGTTTTCTGGTGATGATGGCTGGACACCTTCCTCAGACAGGGCTGGGAAGAGATCTCTGCCTCTTAGATAGCAGCTCTCCTATGCATACAAATCACCCAGGGATCTTATTAAAATAATCCTGATTAGGTCTGAAGTTAGATTGAGATTCTGCATTTAATAGGCTCCCAAATGGTGCTAATGCTGTTGTCAAGGGAGCATTCTAAGTAGCAAGTCACTAAATTAACATTGCCTTGCAAGCGCCTTGGAGCATGCTTGCCTCCCTAACAGGGTTCTGTTTGCATCCTCTCTTTGTTCTTGCCAGTGTCCAATAAAATTATCTACTCATGTTCTTGCTACAAATGTTTACATTTGATTGAATAAACTTTTAGTTTTTAAAAACCTCCAAACTTACTAACAGCAGTGTAAGTGAGCTGCCTGAACTGAGACAGTGTCCTGTGGAAGGAATAAGCCACCCACATTTATTTCACAAATCAATTGAAACAAACCTCAAAGATGGCTTATGAGCAAAAGATGACCCATTGAGTTCTGAGAATTTTCAAATGCCCCATTACCTTTAAGGTCCAAAAGTCACAACGCATGGGAGAGAATTTAAAAGTATGAAGCCCCTGGTGTGAGACAGTAGGAATGGGTGGCGTCTGTAGTGACCTAGGAAGTGAATGCCTTCTCTTGCCTTCTTTCTATAGCCTTACCTCAAGTTCCCCCCACCCCCCACTCTTTTTACTGTGTCCATTTCGCTGCTGCTTCTTTTTCTGCTCAGTTAAAGGAACACATACACTGCACCACCAGGCCCAGTTCTAAGCAGTACCGAGATCCTTATACTACTGGGGTTCCAGCTTTTTGCAAAAACCTCAATTCTGATTCTGTCCTGAGCTGCCCCACAGCTTTGTTTCCTTTCTTTGTTATGACTGCTGTTATGGGTTGAATTGTGTCCCTGGTACCTGTGATGATTATCTTTGGAAATAGGGTCACAGCAGATGAGGTCATTAGGGTGGGCCCTAGTACAATATGACTAGTGTCCTTATGACAAGAGACAGACAGGGGAGAACATTGTGTGAAACCAGAGGCAGAGTGGAGTGATACACTTACGGCCCGGAACACCAAAGGTTGTCCACACCAGAAGCTAAGAAAAAAATATATTCTCCATTAGAGCTCTCAGAAAAACTGTAGTCCTGCTATAGTTGGACTCCTGGCCTCCAGAACTGTGAGAAAACACATTTTTGTTGTTTGAAGCCAGCCAGTTTATAATTTTTTTTAAGTTTATGTTTTTTTTAAGGCAGCACTCTGCTATTACAGGTGATAAGACCCAAGCTGCTTTATTACTGGCTTTAATATCCTACCTTCTCCCTCCAAGACAAATGCAGTGACTGTGCTATCCCTTTCACTAAATTTAAGTTCCTTTTTTGTTTCTGGCCCTTAGGGATTTACTCTTCTTTCTTTCTTTTTTTTTTTGAGACAGAGCCTCAAGCTGTCTCCCTGGGTAGAGTGCCATGGCATCATAGGTCACAGCAACCTCCAACTCCTGGGCTCAAGTGATTCTCCTGTCTCTACCTCCCAAGTAGCTGGAACTACAGGCACCAGCCACAATGCCCAGCTATTTGGTTGCAGCTGTCATTGCTATTTGGTGGGCCAGACCTGGATTCGAACCCGCCAGCTCAGGTGTACATGGCTGGAGCCTTAGCTGCTTGAGCCACAAGTACCGAGCCTTACTCTTACTTCTTGAGAGTTCAACTATCCATTAATTTAAAATTTTTCTTCTACAGCTTTATTAAAAGAAGCCTAATTTACAAACCTATATTTGCAGCTATCACCACAAAGCAGTTTTAAAAAATTTCTACCACCTCAAAAAGTTCTCTTGTACGTATACAGTCATTTCCAATCCAATGCCCAGCTCCAATCAACCAACAATTTTACTTTCTATAGCTATAATTTTGCCTTTCCTGAACACTTCATATAAATGAAGGCATACAATATGTGGTCTTTTGGGTCTGGCTTCTTAGCATGTTTTTTGAGATTCATCCATGTTGTAAGCATGTATCAATTTGTCCCTTTTTTATTGCTAAGTAGTATTTCACAATATGAACAAATATTCAATAGCATTAGTCATTAGAAAAATGCAAGTGACACACTGCTATACATTAATTAAGTAACTGTAGTAAAAAAGCTATGTTGATGGATATGGAGAAATTGGAACCCACTGCTGGCAGGAATGTAAAATAGCCCACCTAACTGGAATATGTTCAAAGCAGTCAGTATCTTACAGTGTTAACACATGCTTCCCAGATGACCAGCAATTCTATTCCTAGGTATCTACTGAAGAGATATTATATAAAACATGTCCACACCAAGACTTAACATGAATATTTACAGCAGCTTTATTCACACTAGTCCCAAGTTGGAAATTACTCAAATGTCCATCAACCGGTGAATGGTTAAAGGTGACATATCCATACAATAGAATATTATTCACAATAAAAAAGAATGAAATTCTGATACACAGAAGTTTCCCTAAGGACCGAGATTCTATTTGCTTTGTTCATTGATGACTAGTACCTAGCATATTGTGGGTGTTCATTAAGTACACATTGAATGAACAAGCGAACAAACAATATAAATCACTTTACTAAGTTGTTCATTATTTTAGAAAATATTTTATTATTTGAAAAATGGCCTTATTTACTGTCAGAAGATGCTCAAGAGAATACTTAAACGAATACAAAAATAATCTATATTAACGAGTTTGCTTCTTATACATACTACTAAGTCATCCATGAAACTCACTGCAAGTTTTGGAAGCACCATATATGATTAGAGCTTCTAAAAGAATAAAAGGAGATTATGACAATACATAAGAAAATGACCTGACCAAAATCTACTGTAAACCTTAGCCACAGGATTTTATTTTTAAAGGCAACAGATTTTTCCAGTTGATTTAAAGCCTACAAATGGGGTAGCAGCAACTAAACAAGCAACTAGACTGTGGAATGTCACAGGGCATATATAGAAGCAACATATTTATTAGAAATCTAAGGGCTACCATAACCATATGCACATTTAATAATTAAGGACTTGAAATTCAGCTCTCCTAAGTGGGCATGAGTAGCTCTTACTTTTAACAGAGAGAAAAAAATTTCCAAACAAGGTGATATATAGGTAGTCGACCAGAATCTTTATGATTCATTCTTTTTCTTCTCTTTTAAAAACACATTTTCAGCACGCAATTTTTCTGTCTCCTGGTAATT